ACAAAACCCCCTTCCTTTCTCCTTTTCCTTTTTTTTTTTTTTTTTTTTTTTTTTTTTTTTTTTTTTTTTTTTTTTTTTTTTTTTTTTTTTTTTTTTTTTTTTTTTTTTTTTAAAAATTTGAAATTTTCATTTTTTTTTTTTTCATTTCGATGCGTGCCACGCCCACTGTGGGCAGGACACCGCTTAGCTGATGTGTGTTTTGTACCTTCTCGAGACAGCCAATCTCGGCCTAACATCTCACATCTTGATCGACAGTCTCTCCAGGCGATCCCCAGGAGAAGGTACACACAGCTGTGACAGAATCAACAGAACAGACGAATCGCCTTATTGTAAGTAGGATTGCGAAGATGGTGAGGGCTGAGGACTAGAGCTTTCTCTTGTTTATGGGAGAATATCCCTGATCGGTAAAAAGTTTGCCTGTGTGCGCTACGAGAAATTTTTCACCGCCTCACCCACATGTCCTTTGCCTCATTCGCTACTGTCCCGGCCTTCAGAATTCCTAAACATTCGGAATATTTACCTTCAGCACTGCCCATTTCGGTACATGTCCTGCCCACCGTAAGCGGAACTGCGTTGCATGCTCTGTGACGTCTCTAATTCTAGTCCAACGCCATACCCACCTCAAACTTGGCTCCGCTTCTCCACGTAATATTAGGTTGGTTAACTTTGAAATGTCGCTTCCTTTTGTGTCTTTGTTTCTCAGCTAAACACAACCTCGTAATATGGGAGACCATTCATTCGAGAGAGCGATTCAGCACGCATATTGCGAAATCTTAGGCGCCAGTGAGCGGATGTTCTTCGAGCCAAAACTTTTGCTCGAAGATGATTGATCAGAAAACATCGTCTGAGCGTATATATTCAAGCAAGAAAAACGGCCAACGAATCTCACTCATTGTGTGCAAAACATTGAGCAGCAACACTTAGTCTCTGATGCACTTTCCAGCTATGGTTTCAGCTCTTCCAAGACTGAGGTAAAGGACTTAGGACGAAGAGCGTGGATATTGACCTGTACCTGTAGAAATGAAGAATTAAAGAAAGCCAACGAATTGAGCTCTCGTCAAACTACACAGAAACTTGCAGGAGATTTGGCTGTGTCAACAGTAAAATTTAAAAGTTTCTACGTGCGACTGTTAAGGCCTTTCAGGATAGAAAATGGGTTCGGCCTATTCTGAGCGACGCGAGCAAGCAGTACTGGTTGCCAATACTGGAACTCTCTTCCATAACTCCAAGAGAAGAAGGCTCTGACTTCGTTGTAAGCGCACTTCACAATAGGATGTTCCCGATAACAAAGTGAGAAGATGGCCGCGGTTGAAAGCAGATGTACGCTGAAAAAAGTCCTTGTGCATGGTCAAACAGTATAGGACTTGCCTACTATGGAGTGCTGATTGTTGGTCAATCTGTAACAACTGAACCCTGCGCGCAACCAGGGTCTGTCCTATCGTTGTTACTTTTCGAAAATTTTTACGACCTCCCAGGGTCAACCCTACGTTGTTACGAGTAACAACGGGGGGGTCGTACCTGGTTGAGTTTGTAGGAGGGGGGGTCGTACCCACTTTAGTCGCTCGAAATCACGTGTGGGATTGAGGTGAAACTAAGATTTCGTGGGTAGTAGGCTAGGGCGAGTGGAGGGCGCGCAAGATAAAAATTTGCAGTGGGCGGGGTTTGGTGGGTTGAGTGGTACCAGAATTAAATACTATAGAGAGGAATATGGTGGTACTATAGAGAGGAATATGGTGGTCGAGGGTCGAAAAGGGGGTCGTACCAAAGTCCACCTTGGGGGAGGGGGTCGTAAAAATTTTTCGAAAAGTAACAACGATAGGACTGACCCTGGTCAAGGTGCCACCCGGATAG